CATCAGTCTCTACATCAGTCTCTTGAGATACTTTATATACATCAGTCTCTTGATATACTTTATATACATCAGTCTCTACATCAGTCTCTTGAGATACTCTATATACATCAGTCTCTTGAGATACTCTACATACATCAGTCTCTTGAGATACTTTATATACATCAGTCTCTTGAGATACTTTATATACATCAGTCTCTACATCAGTCTCTTGAGATACTCTATATACATCAGTCTCTTGAGATACTTTATATACATCAGTCTCTACATCAGTCTCTTGAGATACTCTATATACATCAGTCTCTTGAGATACTTTATATACATCAGTCTCACAAGTCTCTTGAGATACTCTATATACATCAGTCTCTTGAGATACTTTATATACATCAGTCTCTTGAGATACTCTATATACATCAGTCTCTTGAGATACTCTATGTACATCAGTCTCTTGAGATACTCTATATACATCAGTCTCTTGAGATACTCTATATACATCAGTCTCTTGAGATACTCTATATACATCAGTCTCTACATCAGTCTCTTGAGATACTCTATATACATCAGTCTCTTGAGATACTTTATATACATCAGTCTCTTGAGATACTCTATATACATCAGTCTCTTGAGATACTCTATATACATCAGCCTCCTGAGATACTTTATATACATCAGTCTCTTGAGATACTTTATATACATCAGTCTCTTGAGATACTCTATATACATCAGTCTCTTGAGATACTCTATATACATCAGTCTCTTGAGATACTTTATATACATCAGTCTCTTGAGATACTCTATATACATCAGTCTCTTGAGATACTTTATATACATCAGTCTCTTGAGATACTTTATATACATCAGTCTCTTGAGATACTTTATATACATCAGTCTCTTGAGATACTCTATATACATCAGTCTCTTGAGATACTTTATATACATCAGTCTCTTGAGATACTCTATATACATCAGTCTCTTGAGATACTCTATATACATCAGTCTCTTGAGATACTCTATATACATCAGTCTCTTGAGATACTCTATATACATCAGTCTCTTGAGATACTTTATATACATCAGTCTCTTGAGATACTCTATATACATCAGTCTCACAAGTCTCTTGAGATACTTTATATACATCAGTCTCTTGAGATACTCTATATACATCAGTCTCACAAGTCTCTTGAGATACTCTATATACATCAGTCTCTTGAGATACTTTATATACATCAGTCTCACAAGTCTCTTGAGATACTCTATATACATCAGTCTCTTGAGATACTTTATATACATCAGTCTCACAAGTCTCTTGAGATACTCTATATACATCAGTCTCTTGAGATACTTTATATACATCAGTCTCACAAGTCTCTTGAGATACTCTATATACATCAGTCTCTTGAGATACTTTATATAGTAAATGAAAATATTTTAATGACTTAAATTTCAGGCTATTCCCCTCGAGGCAGATTTCTGGTTTTTTTTTCATTTTATCAACATGTTTCACATTTTTTCCCCAAAACCTTAAAATTGCCGACATTTTAGCTATTATCTACGCCTAGCGATTTGTCGTTCCTCTTACCCATAGAATTCCCTTAAAATCTTGAGGCCTTCGTTTCCATATTCCTATACATAATCCGTTAATCCATGTTAACTTAAGCTCCTGATGTATCTAGTTAGGTATAGAAACATTCCTGGTAGACTGTTTTGACAGCTAGCAATCGTCTGTGTACATATTCGTTTTACCTGACATTAAAACTTGTTGATTTTGGATAACTTCAGCTCCTTTGTATCATAATTATTCCTAGTTGAGTACATCATAGCCTCTGCGTGAATGATGTATATAATCCAGGGTTCGACATTAACATTATTTAACTAGACCAGTGGACTAGTAACTTACAGTTTTTACTAGACCACTTGAGATTTCTACTAGACCATTTTGTAAAAAATGAAGAACAAGTTTAAAGTGCATTCTCTCAGTTGTTATTTTACCAACACTGAGACAAAAAAATATTACAATGTATAATAATGTTATACATGTTAAATCATACAAACAATGTCATTAATCATTCACAATCCTTTACCAGTGGACAACATTTTAGACTTACACAACTACATGTCAAAATCTTTAATTTTGATTATGTCATTTGCACTTTAAAAGAAGAAATCTCACTTGGAGTATCATGTCACATTCAGTCAAACTGTGGGCGCCTGGCCCTTTGGCCTCCATGCCACCATAATTCCAAAGCTCTCTGACAGTTATAGTTACCTAAACTTGGCCCTTCAATAGAAATGGCCATTAATATGTTCATCATTTCAATATCTAGCTTAGACCTCCAATCAGATTTCTAGACATTGTAGAGAAACCCGTCTCACATATTGCACATGAGACTGGAATACACAAAATGATTTCTACAAGCACAAGAATGTTTTCAAAGTTTTGTTTAAGGTTTTGGTTTGTGAAAATTCTGTGATAGAAATCTGCAACACTGATATTCCTTGGCTGACTTTCATGTGCACTTTAAAGAGAGGGCCATTCATCTTCTTTAAGATGAGGAATATCACCACCCATCCTGTTCAGTACCACTGAATAATGGTCATAAAGGTCATTCACAGCTTCTTCTCCATATATTGCTCGATCTGATTCGGAATCTGGTAAGTTGACAGGGTAAAACTCTTGCATAGACTTAAGAAGCTGGTCATATTCTACATCTCAAACTCTTTGCGTAATGTGATCAATAACCAGGTCAACAAAAGTATTCTGTTTGTTTCTGAGTTGTTCTTGGGTCAAAGTTGGGGCAGTTAGTTGGGTATTTCTGAATTTGTGATCCTGGGTCACTTCTACAAGAAATTCTCTTGAGATTTTGATCCAGGTCGATGGTGTAAAGCAGTGAGACGTAGGCAGGCAGTCTCAAGTGCCTCAGATGCTTCTGGCAAGCCACAGCTACCTCTTTGGAATTTAAGAGATAAGTCGCTCAGTATTGCTAAAACATCTTTGAGGAAATGCATATAGTACAAAAGAGTATAGTCTCTTAAATGACCCAAAATCTGCCTGGCTCTTGCTAGCATATCAATGGTTCCTGATATAGCTTCAAGGGTATACTCAAAATGTGTTACAAACGTTGGATATTTCTTCAGAAGAACATCAAGACTACGTTGCAGGTGAGGCATCTATCTCGTACTAGATAGATTGGCAAGTCTAGACATTGTTTCTCCCATAGCATCTGCCAACACATGCAATTCCCAAAGTGCTTTGGCACTGTAATGGTAATGTCTGTGGAGATTGGTCAGCACTGACTTTAGGTGAGCAAAAAGTTTGCCATCCCGTTTCCTCATTGCATCAAGGGCACCCAATTCAAGTCTATGACTAACACAATGCATGGCAAACAAATAAGGCACTTCATCTGTCAACAACTTTGCAACACTGTGCCGTCTTCCTAAATTCACACTTGCTCCATCTGAGCCAGTTGCAATAAGTTTACTTTCCCAGTTCCAACCTGGATCTACACTGTCCATAGCACTTTCAATTGCATGCAGCAGTCCTTCTGCATGAGCATGTTCAACAGCACATATCTTTACAAACACATTTCTTGGGATCCCCTTTTCAACTACTCGGGCATTAACAATTTCATTTTCAGTAATAGATACATCAGTTGCTCCATCAAACAAGATAGAAATTACATTTGCTTCTTTTAGCAGTGTTTTGGGGTTTGCCTATATGTCCTTATCAATAAACTTCATGAAACGTCAGCAGGCCTTATCAGTTTGGTAGCTACTCGGTAAAGAAACACCATTTTTCTCTTGAAGTGATAGAAGTTTGGGATATAATGTAAATGGAAGTTCTTCCTTGGCTGCAAAATAAGCTGTGTTAAAACATGCAGTTAATTGTTTTATTTGGTCGTCATTCAGTCGCTGAATAGCAACATCCATGGGACCAACAACAGCAGGCTGAAATGCATATACTTGGCTTGTACTGGGTCCTGGCTGTTGTAAATCAGTTGTTATATCTTGAGATCGATTGTCAATTTCACCAGTATAAGTGGTGAATATAGATTTAGCACCTGTCGATGTAGATTTGCTTTGCTGTTGCTTGATCTGGTAATTTCTCATGTTTATTTCATGTGATGAGGACTCATTATGACTTTTAATCGCAACCATTCTAAAGTTATCAGTACCTTCAACAAATCTTCCAGATTTTTCATATTTTCTGCACAAATCATCACATTTTTCTCAGAATCAAAGTCCAGCCAAGAAAATTCATCCTTCCATTTGGTAGAAAATGACATTTTCCTTTTAATTTTTTTTATAGTTTTTTTGATTCAGCAGTATTTTTTCAATACATTCTCGGCGATTTAGGCATCTCATTAAGTATGCTAGAGATCTTCTTCAGTGAACGCCCGGTTCAATGATCGTCATCGATTAATTATGCGATTAATGCATTAAAATAATAAAAATTTCTCGATTTTTTTGCACTAGACCATTCGGGCTAGCTCGACGCAGTCTCAACTAGCCCGAACCGATAGTTTACTATCAAAGCGTTCGTCCGTATCAAAGCGTTCGTCCCTATCAAAGCGTTCGTCCGTGTTAAAGCGTTCGTCCGTGTCAAAGCGTTCGTCCGTATCAAAGCGTTCGCCAGTTTCAAGTGGTGTTAGAAAAATGTGTAGATATGGATTGGATGGATTAAGAGCCTTAATGTCGAACCCTGATATAATCACGGTTTTACTAATATCGATATAATTTCTTTTTCTTCTTTTTTTTTCATACAAAATGCTGCAGTCTGATTGGTCTAAAAAAATGTCATACCTCTACAAAAAAAAAAAAAATAAATAAATAAGCCACGCCCCTCTTCGCCGGAACTATTTTTCCCGATAACTCATACTATTACACAACCCGAAGCCACCGTCACCCGGAGTATTGGCCTACAATCAACTGTCACAAGTGAACCACGTGTGTCAGGATTAAACTATACGTTGAATTTAACACAGCTTGCTGCTTCCAACAACTTTATGTCCTCTGGACTTCTTTTCCATTCTTCCTTTTCAAAGTGCGTGTTTAACTTTGGCCAAAAACAGTTTTAAGTAAAATAACGAACTATAACGAATTATAAGCGTTGATATATTTTTTTTAGTTTCATAGGGGTATGAACAAAATTTGATTGCAAACTTTTGAATGAATCCGCTACCCCCTATGAAACTAAAAAAAGACATCAATGCTTAAATGAAGAATTGAGAGTGTTGTTCATTTGTTAGAATAATACTTTTCGCTCTTAATCCATCCAATCCATATCTACACATTTTTCTAACACCACTTGAAACTGGCGAACGCTTTGATACGGACGAACGCTTTGGCACGGACGAACGCTTTGACACGGACGAACGCTTTGGCACAGACGAACGCTTTGACACGGACGAACGCTTTGACACGGACGAACGCTTTGACACAGACGAAAGCTTTGATAGGGACGAACGCTTTGATAGGGACGAACGCTTTGACACAGACGAAAGCTTTGATACGGACGAAAGCTTTGATACGGACGGACGCTTTGATAGGGACGAACGCTTTGATAGGGACGAACGCTTTGATAGGGACGAACGCTTTGACACGGACGGACGCTTTGATACGGACGAACGCTTTGACACGGACGAAAGCTTCGATACGGACGAAAGCTTTGATACGAACGAAAGCTTTGATACGGAAGAACGCTTTGATAGGGACGAACGCTTTGATAGGGACGAACGCTTTGACACGGACGGACGCTTTGATACGGACGAACGCTTTGACACAGACGAAAGCTTCGATACGGACGAAAGCTTCGATACGGACGAAAGCTTTGATACGAACGAAAGCTTTGATACGGAAGAAAGCTTTGATACGGACGGACGCTTTGATAGGGACGAACGCTTTGATAGGGACGAACGCTTTGATAGGGACGAACGCTTTGACACAGACGAAAGCTTTGATAGGGACGAACGCTTTGACACAGACGAAAGCTTTGATACGGACGAAAGCTTTGATACGGACGGACGCTTTGATAGAAACGAACGCTTTGATAGGGACGAACGCTTTGACACGGACGGACGCTTTGATACGGACGAACGCTTTGACACAGACGAAAGCTTCGATACGGACGAAAGCTTCGATACGGACGAAAGCTTTGATACGAACGAAAGCTTTGATACGGAAGAAAGCTTTGATACGGACGGACGCTTTGATAGGGACGAACGCTTTGATAGGGACGAACGCTTTGACACAGACGAAAGCTTTGATAGGGACGAACGCTTTGACACAGACGAAAGCTTTGATAGGGACGAACGCTTTGACACGGACGAACGCTTTTTTCTAAGATGATTTAACGTCCTAGCCCTATGCTCTTGGTCTGTATAATCAATAAGTGAATCGAATCGGTTTTGATCTAGCCGATAATATTTTTGTTATAATATGACACTTTAATTTGTGAAATTATTTCGTTAAATACTAGAGCAAGCTCATTTTTAAAAGTAGAATTCGGCCAAGATGCCACCAGTTCCTGAAGATTTGTTGTGTTTAAAACTTGTGACTGTTTCATGTATTATGGTTTGGGTTTTATTGATTAATGGGAATATATTTCCTGGAGAGTATGAAATAATGTGTTTTGTCTCAAAGTAAGAGGAGTCAGAGAAAAGGAAGCCTCGATAATATAGAAGATATTAATATTTTGAAGGGAAATAGATGAGCCAAACTTGGAAAATAATCAATGTTATCTGAAGATAATAAACAGAGATGAAAGAGAGGACCACCTGCGACGAGGCAAGCAGATATTGACAACGATATTGTCAAACTGCTGCCACCACCACGGAGAACAGGAGTGTCACTAATATAAATAGAATTATTATTGTAGCTCGGTTACTTCAGAAATGTTCCCTGCATCAGAGGCGTCAACACCACAAGTCATTTCTACAGCCGAGCAAACTCGGTTATTACTAATTATGTAATCTCACTTCTTCTATTTGAAGACATGTTCACCACCACCAACGTCAGTCAATTGGGAGTTAAAGAAAAAGATTACGTAGATTTCTTAAGATCATGAACAAGTCCAAGGCAACATCTCTTTTATCGAATTACTGATCACATAAGCATTCCATCCAGAGATATCAGAGACATACCTTTTAGAACCACATAGAGGAAATTATTGCATCAATGGAAAATGACATATTTCCATGGGGCTTTAGGAAAATCTGGGCTTTCATCAAACAAAAGCGAAAGAACAAGTTTGGTATGACGCTCTCAGTCTGCATTCTCTCAGAAACCGACCTCCACACATCAGGAATTGGTTTCATCTATAATGAGGGTATTTACCCCAAACACCCCACAATTGTTACCATCAACTTCATCGTGAAAAGGCTCGCTGTTCTGTACGATGTCACTAACTACCGGCGTTGTCCCTGGCGACCGACGCATTTTTGACGTGTCTCTGGTATACACAAATGGTAGAAGAATGTCGCTGGAAACGCTATATCCTTCACGTCGAGGTGTTGTAAATTCATTGGGCATATCGATAATCACCCCAATCATCATGTCGCAAGGCAGGACTAATAACATAACTTTTGACCTATAGGGCAATTTTAGGAAGAGTAGACCAGGTGGACGAACTCACCAACAATCTTCAGTCTGACCACCTAATTGAGATCCTGATTACAGACTTTGCCAAAGCTTTCGCTAAAGTATAGTTTGTTCGTCCACGATCTCTATGCATTGGGCTAGACAGGGTAGAACAGTTTCTGGATTTCGATCTGGCCAAGTGCAAGCGTATCTGTATCCTGTACGTTTTCCACAAGGGATAATCCATAACCATGATTATATATAACCCCCCTCCCCCGATAATTCCCACGGTAAATAGATATACAACTATACAATGTATATAGACATTGTAAAAATGATTCACTTTATGTACGTACATATATCTGTATGTTATGATGATGTACTATATATATGCCTGTACGTACATATATCTGTACGTTACGGTAATGTACCATATATATACCTGTACGTACATATATCTGTATGTAACGGTGATGTACCATATATATACCTGTACGTACATATATCTGTATGTTACGGTGATGTACCATATATATATACCTGTACGTACATATATCTGTACGTTACGGTAATGTACCATATATATATACCTGTACGTACATATATCTGTACCATATATATATATAACCTGTACGTACATATATTTGTATGTTAAGGTATTGTACCATATATATACCTGTACGTACATATATCTGTATGTTACGGTGATGTACCATATATATACCTGTACGTACATATATCTGTACGTTACGGTAATGCACCATATATATATACCTGTACGTACATATATCTGTACGTTACGGTAATGTACCATATATATATAACCTGTACGTACATATATCTGTACGTTACGGTAATGTACCATATATATATAACCTGTACGTACATATATCTGTATGTTACGGTAATGTATCATATATATACCTGTACGTACATATATCTGTATGTTACGGTAATGTACCATATATATATATACCTGTACGTACATATATCTGTACGTTACGGTAATGTACCATATATATACCTGTACGTACATATATCTGTATGTTACGGTAATGTACCATATAAACTTTACACTTAACGAGGCCATTTGAGACTAAATGTAGAAAACTGTTTACAAAATCTGATTCGCTGATCGAATTCATTCCATATTTCTGATTGCATCAATTTTAATCGATAGGATCATTATAATTATTGGCTGATACCTGTCAGTACGTGCTATAAGTACGTACCAGTTTGCTTATTGATGTGTTATGGAAGCCTAAAAATGTCAAAGGATAGAAATGAATATTGTTTTAAACAAGACAGGTATGTATTCAGTAAAGAAACGCTTGGCACGCCTCGCCAACAACAATGCGTGTAGACATAGAATGTCGGCTATGTGTCTCCGACTGTGACGGTCAAAGTTTATCTATAGTTCTAAAAACTTATAAGAGATGTATGAAGTGTTCCACATATACTCTGTGATACGTATCATTCTCAGCAAACGTTCTTGTGGAGGTTGACGACGTAAGTGAGCCCTTGTGCAAGGCGTGATAGTCGGATGGTACATGTGGTATATACAATCCCCCCTCCCCCACAAAAAATATTAATTGTGCGTCATTGGTGTGTCGAGAAAAAACGCATTATGCATGTCCTAGGTTCAGCCTATTATCGATAACATCTTGAGGACTGGAGTTTATTGAACGTGACAAATTGTTCTACGTCATTATGGAACGTCAATATTTTCTGATTTAATGTAACATCAAATTTTCATTTGAGATATAATATCGACATCACTCTGTGGTTCAAGTTTTGCTAACCTAAACGTACACGAAACGTCATTTCGTCACATGATCTCAAAAAATGTACATGAAATTATCAAAATATTTTTGGTTTACACAAATACACGTATATATGTGCATGTGTTTCCTTTACGTGCCACCGTACAACGTACCCCAATAGACCACCTCCATCGAGTGTGACGTTCCAGGTAATTGTATTATTCTCTTTAACATCAATGCGTGTTTTTAACGTCCGTACACATATAAATAGATTTAGATTTAAACAGCGCGCGAGCATTTGCTTTGTATGTGTTCGAGGTGCCACAAGTAATGTGGTTGTATTTGTAATGTGTTTATTTATATAAAAGACAGACATGGTACATGTTTACAATATTTTGCTCCGTTGTCTAAATAAGGATACGTGAAAATTTATTAATTATTACAATTACGATAAATGTATGTGTGTGAGGGTGGGGGTGTGTGAGGGTGGGGTGTGTGAGGGTGGGGGTGTGTGGTGGGGGTGTGTGAGGGTGGGGTGTGTGAGGGTGGGGTGTGTGAGGGTGGGGGTGTGTGAGGGTGGGGTGTGTGAGGGTGGGGGTGTGTGGTGGGGGTGTGTAGTGGTGGTGCGTGAGTGTGGGTTAGTACGTACACATCCAGGCTACTCCAGAATTCTATAAAATTGCAGATGTATAAGCCAGGTAATAAACTAGAATTTAGGAGAATCATTCTTTTCCTATCCAGAACTCCACATGGAATAGTGGTGACAAGATTTGTGACAAGGATTGGCGACAGAAGGACGAACAGACAATTCATACACGCCAGAGTCTATTGATGGTGCATTAATTCAGGTTTATTTTCATCGGTGACATTTCGTTCAATTTTATCTATTTCAGGAGTGAGGTCAACAAAATACTCAGATTTTAAGCGTCGTTACGTCTACGAGTAGGTCTTACACTCACGATAAGCTTCGCTCCAATGCTAGGCATAACGACGTACCTGATGGTGGTATCAGGTGTGTTTGCCAGATATAGCGGTGCTTTTAGTGGATCCAGACCGAGATTACATCTCACGGAGATACCGTTATTCGGCGCCCATCCACTGGACACATGTCTCCAGACCCATCCACCAAGAAAGAGTAGGCCTAGAGGCCGCTGGGAGAGAGACTAATACGTGACCTCATTAGAGAGAATGCAGAATTAAAAAACGAAATTCTGAAAAACAGTGATCCGACAGGGAGAACTCATTGAAACGGATTACGAATAAAGTATACAAATATAGATATGCAAATATATTTTTAAAGCTTTTTATTTGTCATGTACAGTAACATTATGATGATAACAAGGTTTTTACACGAGCCACGTTACGTGTGTCTGTGGTCAACATGTACAAGGTACAGGCATCTTTTGTTGTTTACAGGATTTTCGTCTCCTTGACTCGTCCTTTATTCCTACGATTTGTCTCACGAACGGACTTCAGTACTCCAGCGACATGTTATATATGGTAACATAATGAATTATATAAATCAGTTCAGGGAACAGATTCTTCCGTACATGACCGAAAGCCGTCCAACAGACACCCAAGTAATGAAATATTTAAAGTTCTGAAATACCATTATTATACGTCGTCCATGGTAACTTTTTTCACAAAATAACATTTTTATAATTTATTAAATATTTTGATAATACATCTAAAACTTAGCTACGCGAAGTATTTTAAGTATCATATATTGTCAAATATTTTGTAATAAACAAAAACAAAATTTATCTGAAAACACTTCAGCGCATTGGCCTCAAATTATCTAGTAAATTAACTATTTCGTTTTATTTTCTTTGACGTAACAAATTATTTTAATACATTTTCAACTGCACAGAAAAAAGAAGAGTCAAGGAGGTCTGGATGACAAATGTGAATTGTGTTTACCGAATGGCACTATATGTCAGCATACATTCACTCTGAAGAAACTTAGACGCGTACCCTGGTCTGGAAAACAGCCAAGATAAAACAAGT